CACCGTGGCGCTGATCGCTTCCTCGGGGGAGAGAAGGGCGCTGCTTTTCACAGCGCAGCTATCAGCTAAGAAGGGGCCTTTTTGGGGAGAGTCTCGGCTCCGGGCCAGCTCTGGGATCACCACCGCCCAGGCCATCCCCGCCTCAAGACGCGAGCGATGTAGGAAGAGAGGGGCTCCTCCCCTCAGGTGCGAAGGAAGGCTCTCCCTTCAAGGTCCACGTGTCGATATGTGATCTATACACGTACACAACCAAACAAAAGAAGTCAACACAAGGCAAACCAACGCGCAACGCGCGCAAGGCGCCCCCCCCCCCCCNNTTTTTGGGTCCTTATGACAATACGGCACCTATTATTTAGGGTACCCCACAAAGGACCATAATTTTCACAACTACCCATGTCAATGTGAACTTCAACGCAACGCAAAAAAACCCACCTCGCGAGGCTCCAGCTCGATGGAGACCTGGCTCGGCGTCGGCCTCGGCGCGCTCCCCCGCGCCCCCCGCCGAGTTTTTCGTGGCAGCTTGGGGAGCCCGGCGTGGCCGCCAGCCTTGGGTAGGGGTAGATTCCTGAGTTTTTGGAGGAGCTTCAGTGAAGTCTGCTTAGAGACCTAAGGCTGACCTGCGAAGCTGTTCGAAGGCGGCACCATCACCTCCATTGGCTCTGCCAGCACGCCGTCGTTCTTGACATGCCCATCCTAGCCAGGAGGCCTACAACCCAATTGCAGACTCTCATGTAAGCGGCTCCTCGACGTACACAAAAAGTCTGTACTTCTGCCCCCCGTAGAGTCTGCAGCTGGTGAGGTTCACCTGGGTGCACTAGGAAGACAGCTCTGTTCTCAGCAATAACGACCGCTCACTGCGGCACAGGCCGTGTTCCCCATGGTGGAGGCAAAGTCGTTCCACTTGCCTGAGTTGCCACGCCAAACGATGTGGGCTTGTGGGAGCATGTGTGGACCAGCAAAAGTGCGTACGTGCAGACATATGCGTGTGCATGTATATGTGTATGTGTATGTATGTATATATATATACACACATATTTATTTCTTTATTTATACTTATACTTTCTATATGTATTTATTTGTATATTTATATGTATATGTTTATCTATATGTATATTATACCTATCTAGCTGTCTATCTCCATCTATCTATCTATCTAGCTATCTATCTATCTATCTGTCTATCTATCTGTCTATCTATCTGTCCTATCTATATATCTAGCAGAGTTGCAAGAGGCATCGCCCACAGCGCTCATGAAAGCCTCGCCATCAGAGGCAGCTGCTTCGGGTGAGTTCGTGAGCCTTGGCCTCAATTTGCGAATGCGAGGCTTCTGTTCCCCCAGAGTTTTCCCCCAAAGTCTGCCGGCAAAGCCTTCTATGACCTTTGAGGCTGTCTGGCTGTCCTTTGAAAACAAAACGTCTGAAAAGACCGCTTGTACCATGTCGCTGCGGCAGCAGGCCTTGCAGCTTGAACTTAACAACGATTTGCTAGGAACGCTAGCAGCCTTGACGTTGGCCACCGTGAGAGTCGCATAGTCCGCATCCGCCGCAATCATGGCGTATCCCCAGCCTCCACCACAAATCATTGCGACATAAATAGTCTTGTCAGGTTGTTTGCATGTGTGGAATCCAAAGTTCTGAATTTTCGGCCTAGCTATGGAGATCTCTTCGGGTGAGGCCTGCCCTGGGTTCAGGACTTAGGCGGATGGTCTGCAGGCTCCCATGATGTTCAGGGATGGCTTGAAGCAGATCCACACAAGGGGGCGATGAACCTGCACTCGCCGGCGGCGAAAGGTTCGCGAGGCACAAGTCCGTAGACTCGACCCATCAAGCAGGCAAGGCTCTCTCACTCAGTGCCTGCGGAGGCCATGGGCGTGAAAGTCACGGCGAGGCCATCCTGGCGCAGCATTCGCCGTGTTTCCTGGGGCGAAGCCGAAGGATGCTGGCCTTCGTCACGGGCATCTGGATCTCGGGCGGCACCTCAAGGTAAGACCGTCGGACAGGACCCCCATTCTCTCCGCTTCTAACTTCAGGATGCAGTGAAAAAATTGCTGAAACTCTGCCGAAGCCTAAGAGCCACTTCGCAGCCACTTCTACTTCCACGCGGGGCTCGCGCGGCGAAGGAGTTGGAGGACGCCGGGACTTGGAAGCGCAGCGGCCCGTACAAGGACCCATCCTCCCGGAAGAAGGGCCGGGTAGGGAGGTGGTTTTTTGGGCTGAGGGTTCTAGGGCCTATCATGGGCAGGACCCAGAGGGCTCAGACTCAAAGGCTCGGGCGTTGTCAAGGGCATCGTAAGACTCGACGTAGGCGAAGACAGAGTACCTGCGCAGGGAGAAGCCTGAGGCCCGAGGCCTGAACTCGGATCCGCTCTACGGATACAACCCTCGGGAACGGAAGTACGAGCACAAAAAAAGCACCAGAGGGCTCTCGAGGATGCCACTGCTGGCCATTTTGCGAACATGGTCCCTGCGCCACAGACCCACGGGTTTCGTTCTGATCGTTACCGTCTCGTGATAGCGAGCCAGGAGGTGCAACCAAGAGAAAGAAATAGCCAAGCGAAGGGCGCACCAGCCCATCCCCATCAGGCCACAGCCGTGCAGCAGAATCCTACCACTTCGGTTCACCACAGATCCACCTGCTCTGAATGCCTCCGAGGGCTGCACTCTCGCTCCACCCCGGCCACGACAGGCACCGCTGTGCCACGGCAGGACCTCCGCACCGGCTGCGGAGTTGAAGAGACGCAGTGTGCTGAAAGCAAATCTGACAACCCAGGGCACGGACAGCCTCCCGACGGCATCCATGCCTGCCTTCACCTTCGTGTCACAAGGCAAGAGGTGCCACAAGAGTTATCCCCCCGAATCTTGGGCCTTCGGAGCTGTGGACGTGGGCGCCGGCGTGTACAGTGTATCCTCATTCTGCAGGGCAGTGGAGGTGAACATGCCTGCTCTGCGCCTATCTGCGCCTATCCGGACTCCGAAGTCGCGGAGGTGTTTCGACCACTGCGGGGTCTTTACAGGGAAAATCTTCATCAGAGACTGCTCTGGGCAGCCCGATCTCTTGATTGAACCGGGCGGGTCACATTCCCGATGTCCAAATCATACACCGGGGTGCAGGCCTGGGTTAATTACTGGTAGAGGGTGAGAATGTTGAGAGGCAGGCGGCAAACTGCACAAACAAGTGGCAGAACAACTTGGCAGAAATCATACTACGAAGGGTTGATATTATTTGGCGTGCATGCCTGCCGAGTCAAAAAGTTCATGGCACAAGGTGTTTCGTGACTTCTGTCACTGACACCTCAGCCGATAATTATCTTCTGGCTGGCCGAAACTTACAAATTTCAGGCAGGTGTGCGAATCGGCTTGGGTCCACCACGTGCAAGATCCTAGCTCTTGAAATGGGGCGGACACGAACCGCCAAGTAGCGGCACACAGGAGGTATCAGATGGTATATGTGAAAGCGCAACCGTATATCATGATATCTCAAGCAGAAGCAAGTAGCCGTCAAGTCGCATCTAGGGCGCACTGGAAAAGCTAGGCAGACCAAGACGCATCTTACCGTGCTGTCTTGAACAGCCGGTTGTGAGCTCTGCATGACTCCTTCGGAGCCGCTTCGAAAACTTAACTACTCATTCACAGAACGGGACCTTCCCATAAAAACCCGCCCACCCTTCCGAGGACCTCAGTCCGTCCCAGCATTGCAAGTCGCACAAAAAAGTCGCAAAAAATGTCCCCACCCCAAACAAACGGCCTTGGCTCAAAGAGCATCTGGGAGGCCGACTCGGACCGCTCGGAGGCTGCGGCACGAAGGAGGAGGAGGACGGGGACGACGTCGGCGATGTCGGCTCCAAGGGCAACGGCGCAGGGCCCGCCCCGCCTCTCCAGGCGCGCAGAAAGGCGGCCAATTTTAGGGTTTAGGCTTTAGGCTTTAGGCTCCGAATTCGGGCCCTGCGCTTCGTGCCTGGAGGTGGGGGAGGCTGAGCAAGGCCTGACGACAGATCTACAGAATGCAGACAAGTCCGGGTCATGCATCCGTATAAAATGTTCATGGTTCCATACATGCATGCATGTGCAAGTATGCATGATACCACCTTTTTCAAACAGCATCTGTAAGACGAAAGACATCAGATATTGGAAAACACTGTGCCCGAACTCTACCAAACTCAGCCATGCAACGAAAAGATACAGTACATAATCAGGCAATTCATGGAATCATGATCATGTATGTATATGTGTATGGTTCACCGCACAAAAAACTCACCTCATGTCCATTTATTGACATACCTATGTTTACATGGTATGCAGATATACATGCCACGCGTGCCAGCAGCATCGGCGTTCTTCCAGCAGCGTGCCTGATGCTGAGTAGCCGCCGGCAAGGTCGCTCTCGGGGAGCGTGGGGGCACCGCCAGCGAAGCTGGAACATCCTGGCTTCCGTGACGGGGGAAGGGAGCGGGGGGGGCACGGGGGTTGGTGGGTTGAGGGAGTTCTTAAGCTTAGACAAGGCCTGTGTTTTCTGAACCGGGGCATAAGGTCTCTTGTCGCCGTGGTGGAGACTCTGAAGTTTCAGCCGCAGCTGCTGGCAGACTGCTGTTGCAAGAACTACTGTCGCCGCCTCGAAGACCTCGACGACGAGGACGACGACGGCCACCAGCACCACGACAACGACGACGACGAGGACGACGACGACCGCAGACAGAAACAAGACGACCACCAATCACGACGACTACTACGAAGACCACCACGAAAGACTTCGACGGCGACAATGCTGCGGCCTCCGGGCTAGCAACATATTCTCGGCGCTGAATTGCAACTGAAGTGTATTTGTACCGAGACCCCTGTAATGGGAGAACCTGACCGTCTCCGAAGCACGTCCAACACAACGGCGACATCATCATGGGCATAGATATTCGTGAGATACGACAGCACCAAAGTTTATGCAAGAGGTCAGGTTGAGTTCGCACGGTGGCTTCTTTGTGCCTTCCTTGCCCAAGAAGGATCCCTTGCAAAGTACCACCCCTTCTTTTCAAAGACCAGGCTTCCCAACACTGCTGCAGCCCAGGGCCTTCCACTGCCGATTGCATGAGCTCCTCTAAGGCCTCGCTCTCATCGATGGAGGCCAACCCGACGTGCGAGCCGCGATCTGACAGGCCCCAATATAGTGCGGCACCCTTATAAACGGGACCCTACAAGGGACCCTACTTTAGACAACTACCCACATGCACACATCAGACTCCGTGCTTGGCGCCTGCGCCTCCCGTCGCCGCCAGTGTCATGGACAGCGCTGTGACGGCCTTCTCGAAGACCGAAAGCTCCTGCACCTCTTCGGCCGCCTGATCACGCATTCTCAAGCCAGACAGAGCCTAGGCTCGCCCCCTCTTCAAGCTGCCGTGGCCTCTTCATGCAGCATCATGCAAGCCTTCCGGATCCCAGCTATAGAGCCAGAGCATAGCAAGCGCACGCAGAGCGGAGCTCGTGACCTGGCCTGACACGCCGTGGGGCGCTTCCGCGCGTGCCGCGCGAGAAGGCGCTGCAGCAGGGCGACCTCGCAGAGCAGCCCGCGGCTCAGCCCGCGGCACAGCCCGCGGCTCCCCGCGGAGTCCCGGTCCCCCGTGCTGCGCTCGGCTCCCCCGAGGCTCGGACGGTGGACTGGCTGAGCTTGCTGGCTGCCAGCTCGTCGAGTCTCGCGTTCCCCGTCAAGGTCTGCTCCGCACTCTTCGCCTCCCGCGGAAAATGCGGCAGCACACGAAAGGCACCCGGGGGCTTCTCGGAAGGCACACGGTTCGAGGCTTCGTGCGCCTCGTTGCAGGGCTCGATGCCAGTGAGCATCAAAAGGACAGTGGCCGCCGTACCTGCGCAGCGAGCAGCACACGAGCAGCACGCGAGCATCCGCTTCTCTCTCCGAGCGGCTGAAGACGTCGCTTGCGGGACCCTGAGTCCCCAAGCGCCCGTCGATGACTTCCGGCGCGGTGTACCCATCCTCGGCTCCATGAGGTACAGTACCCCAGTCACGAAGGAGTCTCCAAGCCGAGCTGCCGCTCGGGCCGTCCGCCGGGCGCTGAGGCAGGACACGTCCTCAAAGGAGCAGGCGTTGCCGAAGTTCACCAGGACAGGTCCTCGGAGCCCAAAGGCGCGGCAAGCCAAAAAGCCACGTCAAGAGCCTCAAGTTGACATTACAAAGCAAGGAAGGCTCTTGACTGCTTCGTGGAGCTTCGAAGATTCTCTGCGAGGAGAATGTTCTGAGGCCGGATGTCTCTGTGTAGAATCCGACGACCGTGCAAGTGGGCCACTGCCGAGAAGAGTCCCACACTCGCACCCTCCCCGGCGATGGGCTCGAGGTGTCCGTAGATCTTCACATGATCTTGAAGACGACCACCACTACAAAGCTCCAGCGCTAGAAGCCAGAGTGACTTGCCCCTCCACTTTGCGCAGAAGGTTCCGAGCAACTGCACGATGTTCGGATGCTGACAGCTCGCGGCCAGAAACCGAACTTCGTTCACTATCGACTGTGCTTCCTCGTCCGATTCCTGAGATCAGGTCATGGAGTCCATAGGAGATCCCAAAAAAGAGGAGAGAGATCCCTAGAAGGTCGCCCCCCCCACCGACGGCCATGCGGCCGGGTGCTTCGTGATCTTGATGGCCACCGGATCGCAGGGTGGCGAGGCGGGCTCTTCCTGCAAAAGAGCACGTCGTCTCTCTTTCTCTCGACACCAAAGGGCGGGACTTAAAGGGGAGGGAAAGAGCAGCGGCCTCGGAATGACTTTCGTCCACCAGGGTCGAGAGCTCGCAAAAACTGCGGCGAAGGAGGCCTGCAGCAACAACGAAAGAAAGAGAAAGGCGAAGAAGCTCTCCGGGAAGGAGCGTTCCCACCCCCTGCCTCGCCGCGAAATGCTCGAGGAACCCCGTCCAATGACCTGTCTGTGAAACACGTACTCCTCGTCAATGTCCCACCTTCCAGGCAGCAGCTTTAAAGGTGCTATGAGAGACGCCGCTCTCCGCTCTAAGTCTTAGGGGGCTACTTCCAAGAGCTGGGCGCTTTTTGGGGCTGGGCCTGAGAGCACCGCTGCGTTGCAGGACTGACAAGAAGGACTCCATCTCGGGGGTGCCCACCTGGAAGCTTGCCTCAGAGAAGACGCCCAAAATGCAGAATCTTTGGCCGATTCCCGTCAAGACCCACTACAAGTAGCAGTGGGTGCTCTACATAGCCCTATAGGTGGCCCTATAGCTCTCTGAGCTGCACAGAGCACCCAGAACTCGTCCGTGCCCTCGTCGAAGCACTCCAAGGGCGCCATCTGCAGGCGCTTCCAGCGGGGAGCCAGGCCGATCAGGAACTTCACCTCCGGGATCTCTTCCGTCTCGGCCCGATCGAAGGGGGTTTGTTGCATGGAATCGAAGTCTGGCGTGGGAATCCGAGTCCAGGTCACATCTGTACACAGGAGCGGAAGGCTAAAGTCCACTCCGATGGAAGAATATTTCGTGACGACCTCTCCGTCCACAAAGTGGACCTCATTGGTCCTGCTAAGGTCTTGCCACTTGGAGCCACTGTTCACCAGGCTCTTTAGGCATTCGCTCAAGGTTTCCCCTCGGCTTTTGTCGCCTTCGCTACCGCGACTCGCCTTGTCCTCCCTCCCCAGCTTGCGGGGTTGGATCTGAGCTTGGGGCTGCGGCACTTGATGTGCGAGGCTAGTGCTCGGTTCAAGGACCACATGGACATGCGACGGGTGCAGCCACACGGGCATGACTCCCGTACGGCATCATCTCGAGCCGAAACGACAAGGCGAATTTTCGCACCAGGATCGCAGGACGAGGCAAGGCGGGCAAAGGTGGGCAGAGGGGGGACCACAACAGGACAGGCTCTCCACAGTAGGCTCTGGCTCTGCTGTGAGCGCTCTCTGTGGAGCCGGCGTCGTCCTTCACCAGGATGGCCTCGGCGCTTGCGAACCCCCCCCGCCCCGCCCATGTCTCGCAGGAGGCATCTGAGGCGAGCAGCCCAAGCAGATCCCGACTCCTTCGCGGTGATGCGCAAAGTGACGCTATCCGAGCCTGGTGGCACATCCGTTTGCCTTGCTTTGGCTGAGTGCTCCCAAGAAAGGGCGCCGGCTGATAGCGCCCACCAGAGCCGGCGGCGCGTGAAACTCGTTCGAGAGCGGGAAGACCAGATTGCCGTCCCGGTAAACCCGATAGCTGGATCTGGCCAGGCCGAGCAGATCACAGCCAAACCCTCAACATCTTAAACCCCCAAGCAGCCGCTGTGGACATCTCTGGACCGTCTCGTTTGGATCTTGGCTCCCCTGCACGGCTCGGCCACAGTTGTCCGCCGTCTCGGGCCAAGCGATGGAGATGGACCAAGGGCTGCCCGAGACCTGTTGCAAAAAGGGTGTACAGGGTCTATAAAGTTTATTAGGGCTTGCAGGGGGCCATGCCGCGCCTTGTAGGGCGCGGCCACGAGGCTGCGAGGAGTGCAGCGCATCTCCGCCGAGAAAACGCTGGTTCTGGCGCCGGGCCCCACCTGAGAGACATTGAGCGACAAAGGGTCCCGAATGGTCCAAAGCTTTTGGGGCCCCCTGGCATCGTTCACGGCCACCGCGTAAAAGCGGTAGGTCTTGCCGTTGCTGAGGGAGTGCAGAGTCACCGAAGCCATGGTCCCCGCCTCTTTCACAAGTCTCTCTCCTTCTCTCAGGACTCCCCCTTTCTCCGAGACTCCGGGCATAGGCCAAGGTGTAGATGCCCGAGGAGTCGCCGGCCTGAAAGGAGAACACAAAACAGATCCGGAGCCTCCATCAGAGGCCCCCAGAAAAGGCCCGCAAGCAAAAATCTCTCTTGATCCAGGGCCCGGGACATCCCTGTAGAGCTGGTAGGAGGTCACCGGGTTCCCTCCATCCACGGTGGGCACCTTGAAGGTCACGAGGTCACGTAGCTGCGTCAGGGGCTCACTCGCCTGGCCCCTCAAGTCGCCGGCGTTCCAGGTTAGGGTCATCGACGAGGGCGTGCGCAGGTCCACCATGTCAAGCGGCCTCAGAGGCGGAAGAAGGCGCCTCGGCCTCCTGGCTTTCGCCTCAGCTCCGCACTGCGACGGGACGTTCATCTTGAGCCGCAGGTCTGCCGGGGCCTCAGAGACGGAGCGCACTCTCTGCACCCCCCATACGGACGATCCCAGCCAGGGCACGTCGGGCTCTGCGCCACAGACTCGGGAGACGGAAGGGCTCGGCCCTCCCCAGCCTCAGAAAGCGCGCTGCACACCGCTTTTTTTCTTGCCAGGGAAAGCGAGAGAAAAAAAAAAAAAAGCAGCTCCAGGTGCCCCCGCCAACCACGTTCCGTGCGGCCACGGTAATCAAGTGATGCCTCCCAGGGCCACTGAGTTGACGAACGCGAACATGCCAAAGAGCTCACCCAGTCTGGGAGTCCCGGCTGGCCCGTGACGCAGATGATCTGAACCTTCGCAAGAAAGGACACACCCAAAAAAAAACCGCGAGCTTCTGATCTGCTTCAAACCGAGGCGCGGAGGTGATGGAAGCCACGCTGGTGCCGTCGTAGCGATCACATTGGCCGTCGAAGGTCACCTTGTACCCCAGCCTGAGCTTGAGACCGCCACTTTTCAGGCCCACCAACAACTCTACGACCCTCACCCCAGAGACTGAACCCGGATTGTCACGCCCTTTGCGACTAGGCCCCCCACGTGAGCGAACCCCCGTTGTCCGAAGGCTCCGCCCAGGTGACGCGCACGCGGTCCTTCCGGCAGCGGCTTTGGAAGGCGGCGACTCGTTCTTTTCCGGGCGAAGGCTCGTTCTTGGGGGTCACAGCACAAAAGGGGCGACATGCTAATGCTTCAGGGTTTGGGGATTTTTAACAGCGAGTGCAAGAGCATCGTCCATGTATCCGGGGATCGTCTCCACCTCGCTGACACCAGGCAAACCAGCAGAGTCAAGAGACGCAGGAGACGTTTTCCCGGGTGTCCGACAATGGGCGTCTGGGGATTTGAAGGCACCGCTGCCACCACCTGCTGCCCGAAAAATGCAGGGTAAGCGACGCAAAGGCGAATCCCCGCAGGAAGTCTTCCCCGACCTGCTGGAAGACGGCGGTGTAGGGACCCGTGCCGACCACCGTTTCAGCAGCAACGCGGAAACGGTAGGGCCGCCCAGGCGTGAGGTACCTCGCATCCGGAGCCACACAAATGCGCTAACTCGACCCTCCTGCGCTGATCTGCACTGCAACATTACCACGACCCACCCCTTGCTTTCAAGGTGCTCGATAGTCGTGTAGGTCCCTGCGACCACCGCCACGTCGCCGAAGGCGCCTCCCAAACCATCATCTGCCTGTACCCGATAGAAATCCACCATTGCCTTGCCAGGAAAAAGCTGCCATCTGCGGTCTCAGGGTGCTCTGCAAAACCGAGCACGGCTCCCCTCCCGTGTCTGCGGGAGGATCCCACATGAGCGTGATGGCAGTCCTGCCGCAAAGCCCAGAGGACCTGCACCTGCCTCTCTCGCACTTTGCTTTGTTGTTGCCGCAACAAGACCGGTTTTTGGGACCGAGAAGAGTGTCGGCGCTCTCTACAGCTGGACCCAATTTTGCGAAGATGTTGAGGTAACGCGATTTGAATAAACGAAGATGAGACACCGACATTGTCTGCCTATATGCAATGCAGTCAAAGTACATAGGTCGACAGGCCGTCAGGTCGGGAGGCAGGAAGACGTCCATGGGTGGGTGGGTGGTCCAGTCCGGGAATCTTCATGCATCTATCTGAATCTATCTGTCTCTTTCTTCTGTATATGTCCGCTCCGCTCTCCGTTCAATTACCGGCCTGGTGGACGTGACGTAGCCCAGGTTGCGAGGCATGCCAGGGAGCGAGGCCGCGAATGCGGTGACCTAGCCGCCCAGAGACAGGCGGAGGAATAAGGGTGTGCATGTAAACGCACGCGTATATCCATGTGTATAAATAAATTGTACGTAACTGGACATCACATATACACACATGATTAAAGCATATATGCACATGCACACACACACACACATCACACACACACACACGCACATGCACGCGCACGCACACACACACACACACCCGCGCGCGCGCGCGTATGTGTGTATGTGTGTGTGTGTATGTATGTATGTACGTATGTATGTATGTATATATATATATATATATCGCTGAGTACAGGTGTGCCTGTGTTCATGTGTTTGTATAGTTACATACATACATACATACATACATACATACATACATGCATACATGCATACATACATACATACATACATAGTTACATACTTACATAGTTACAGACTTAAACACTTACAGACTTGCATAGATACAGACGTATATACATACTTACTTACATACAGACATACATACATACCTACGTACGTACATACATACATACGTACGTGCGATACATGCATACGTGTACATGTACATGTACATGTCTATATCTACACATATGCTATGGAAGTACGTGCATGCTGCATTGCGTGTGTTCACAACACGAGCAGGCTGATGGCACAAGGCAAGAAAGGAAGCATGACATTACTCCTCCCAACATCAGGTTCATACGACGTTGGCACGCCACGCATGCATCACTTCCGCGCACTCACCCTCTGAGCGGCCGGCATGCGAGCTGTGTGGTCCGAAGTAATCCAGCGCATCGTTGCGGGCCGCGATGCGGTAGATGTACATTTGGCCAGGACTGGGTGGCAAGAGCAGGTGTGTAGAAAGCGGGCTCCAAGGCCCAGGATCGGCAGAGGCAACGCTCGCCTCAAATCTCCAGTGTCGGTGTAGGTTTGAATCGGCGTCGACCTCGGGGGCACATGACTCACGGCTTGAGCGGGAAGCCTCGTCGGCTCCAGGTCACCGGCACATTTGCGACAGGCTCGAAGCCTTGACCCGTGTCGCGCTCGATGCGGTAGTACCTCAGCCCATAAGGCGATGTGCGGCCCTGAGGCCCCTTTTTCTGCCCTGTTCCACGATAGCTCGACGGTCCGGTATGCATGCATGCTTGCATAAGTACATGTATGTGTGCATGTAGGAACCTATTTCTCTACGTAGTCCTCTCCTTTTATTTTTGAACTAGCTAGCTGTTTATGTGTTTGTTGGTTGATTCATATATTGTTTGTCTTGCTCGTCTACCTATTTGTATATTCATCCATCAACTTCACTACTTGTGATTTATTTGTTTGAGTTATTAATTTATGTGTTTGTTCATCCGTTCGTTGTTTATTTCTTTAGTTATGTCTTTCGTCCTCGCTTTCTGTACTTGCTTGCTTACTTACGTGCTTACTTACTTACCTACTTGCTTACTTGCGTACTTATCATTGAACCTAGTCTCATCAATCTCTGTGTGTGGGTCCGTGCGTGTGTTCACCGACTCGCGCCGCTTTGGGGGAATGGCTCAAGCTCTGTGCAGCCCGTGCTCTCGGGGATGTCCCAGGCCTGCCGCGAGAGCTTGTCAGAGAGCCGGGTACTGTAGGGTCTTTGCTGAAACCTTGAAGTCCCTGCATTCCTCCCCTCATCTCCCCTCCCCCGTCTCCCGGCCAGCGTGATGGAGCCCGTGCTGCTGGCCAACACTCGCGCCGACCGGGGCCTCAGCTCAGAGCGTTTTGGGCCTGGCCTCGGGGGCCCTCTCTGAGCAGCTTCTTCGGAGAGGCTTTTTGGGGGCCCGTGCTGCGACGGCGTGTGTGCCAGCTTGAAAGCTGCCATGGAGCTGCGGGGGCCTCAAAACTTTAGGGAAGCGAGAGAGGGAGAAAAGGAAGCAGAGAGAGAAGAGAGAGAAAGACTGGCAGATCGGCAAGGAGGAGGAAGAGGAGGAGGAGGAAGAGGAGGGGGGAAAGCTCTTTTTTTATTTGGGAGGGGGGGGGGGGAGTTGGGGGGAAGGGATCTCCGGACCGCCCCTTTTGCGCCTTCCCCGATGCTGGTCACGGCGGACACCTCGGCCTCAGAGCTGCGAACATTCAGCACAAAAGAAGAGCGGACAAAAACACGCCGAAGCTAAAAAGAACTAAAGAGAGATAGGTCGGGTACAACTGTACATTATAGCGCAACATAGTATATAGTACATATATACTACAGTATCTATCTTTAGTGTAGTGTAGAGCCTTCATAAAGTACGCCGTACCCGTTCCTTCCTTCGTCCTTCGTTGGCCCTGCCTTGTAGACTCTGCCGCAGACCAGGGAGGTGGCGGTGAACTCCGTGGCCTGCCGAGAGGCCAAGACCCGACACCCCACTGGCCCTATGCCCTTCAGTTGGGCTCGGGCCGAAGGCTTGTCGCTGCCGTCGTAGACCAAGGAGGTCACATCCTCAGCATCACTGCCATCGCTTCCTCTCATCCTCGGGAAGCGCCTGAGGCTCCAACGTCCCGGCCGGTATTCATGTAGAGGCGGTAGCCGCCCAGGGGTGCCCCACCGGTCTGCGAAGCTCCGCTCCGGCCCCCCCCCAAGCTTTATCTTGGTGAGCTTCCCCCGTATAAGCGCCTGCGCCACGGGCAGTGGCGACCAGGCCCAGGTCAAGGACACCTCGGAGAAAGGCTGCCGGCGCCGTTCTTCAGAGGACATCTCAGGCTTCTTCTAAAGAGAGCCCTATAAGCCCAAGCTCACCCCGCCGCGCTTGCTGGGCTGGGCGTCCCGGGCCGAGGTGGTGGAGGCCCTCGTGAGGCCACTGGGCGCCGCCGTCGGAGCCTCTGATGAAGAGGCAAAAGAGAGAAGCTCCGAAGCTCCGAAAGGGGAGCCAGAGGCTCTGTGGCTCTCTCTGGGTCCGAAGCGGTGCCGACGACCTGGGACACCACATTGGAATAGGAGCCACCTGGACGTCAGGACGAGGCCTCTGCTGCCTCGACGTTCCAAGCCTTTGCAATGCTAGAACCGACCCTTGCCTCCGGCATTGGTCACGGCGCGGATCCGGAACTGATACCTGGGCTGCAGCGTCCCCTCCGGTCGGTTGCAGGGCTGAGCCGCACCGAGCCCCCGGACACCAGCCCCTGCCCCAGGTTGAAGATCGTTTTTGTAAACCTCAAGGTGGCGGTCACGTCTCCCCCAAATTCCGCTAGAAGAGAGCTCTTCGAGCTGTCCACTGCGTGTTGTCCGGGTAGGGCCCATCTTCCTGCAAGAGAGGAGAGAGCCCAAAAGAACTCTTTCTCTCTCTCTGCTCCCTGAGCTCCTGCCAGGTGTTGAAGAGTGGCTCCTTTCAAAACAGCAGAGCACAGACTTCTGATGACAAAAAACGCGCAGTCGTTCGCCCAAAGCCCGTCCGGCGCGTACTCCAAAACGTAGTGCAGCACGGGCTCCCCGCCGTTGTCCTGGCCGGCTTCACAACGCAAAACGCTGCCCTGGCATTCCGAGACCATCGTCCGTAGACGAGCTCAAGATTCCAGCGGGGGGCCTGCGGCGGCTTCCAACTGCATAGGACCTCCTCGGCACCAGCCGAGGCCACCTGATGCAAAGGAATTATGAATGATGAAAATCATCATCGAGTCCGAAGCCGCACGCTGCTACAGTGGGGGCCTGCAGGTCGCTGGGCGCCGAGGGTTCCACGGCCATGGCCCGGTACAACACCTGCCCCAGACGCCCGGTCAGCGGAGATATTGGTTTTGATCGGGCGACGGACAGCCAAAAACACTAGAAAAAGGGCGCACGTCGGAATCTGGGCCAGAGCCAACCTGTGCCCGTTCCGTTCTCTGCCAAAGCGCAGGCGGGTCTGAGCTCAGGTGCCCACGACGTTGACTGCACGGACGTAGGCCCGATAGGTGCGGCCCGGCCTCGGCGTTCAGCGAGCTAGAACAGCAAAGCCGGCAGGCCCGTCAAGTCGCGAAGTGTTTCCAATGAAGCCTGAGGTACTTTCTTCAATATCTCTATTATACAGATCTTAATCGGCAAGCGAGGCTTCCGTACCAATTTATAGCTGCTGTCTTGGACATCTCCCTATAAGGTTTCTTCGGGTTGCCAGCAGGGTCAGCAAAAGCAACGTACAGCCTCAACCGGTTGAGTGTCGCGGAGCAGCACGCAATCCATCTGCAGGAGTGGCCGGCAGAGAGGGGAGTCGGAGTGGTGGAAGATGCGGGCAAGTCAGGACTGACAAAGGCGCCAGGACTGGCAGGAGGAGTGTTGTGACCTCCCGCGGCAGGAGGCGAGGAGGAACCCACAGGGGCTGAAAACGAATCTGTTGAGATCCCGAATCACATATGTTCCACAAGGGTTGAGGCAGGTCCCCGCCGAAGCTCAGTCAACAAGTCGATAAAGGTGTGAGCCGCGGGTGGCCGCTTGAGCTTGCCACAGGCACAAGCCGAACCCAACCGTGCCGCAGCAGGAACAACAAGTCCACGGCTGGTCCCAAGCACAGACCCACACAGATTCCCAAAGCCAAAGAATACAAGTCCAAAAAGGCGAAAAATTCCAGAGGAGGTGGCACCGGATCGGAGAGGTCCGGGGAAGAGGGGCAAGAAGAGGGAAGTCGGAGCAAAAGCTGGCTGAACACGCTCGAACCTAACTCATTCCGAAAGCACTCGAAACCCCAAGCTGACGAGCCCTCCTCCTCCTGCGCCTGCCGCTGCCACTAGCAGCGGCAGTCTCTGCGCCATGAACTGCGCCCCTTCAATTGCTCATTCATTTGCTGATCTTGCAGATACTCCTCGGCGCTCTCCAGTGCCGCTGACAAGTCATGGATGGTTCCACTGCGAATTGCAACCCCGAGCTCAAACTCAGTTTCGGTTTGTGGTAGCATCTCTTCTGCATCCAGCAGCAGATCTGCATCCAATTGCCAGCTTCCGGCATCAAAGGTTGCACGCTGGAGCGTTTTCCTGGTATCTCAGCTCGAAGAAATTACGGCAGCTGATCGAGCCTGAAGCTCGTCACGGGCTCTCAGCTTCAGTGTCCTCTCGCGGGCCGGTCACTCGGGCTGCAGCATCGGCACGCAGCTCTTCAACCAACGGGTGGCCAAAGCCAAGCGCATTTGCAGCTCCACTGCAGCGCACATGAGCTTCATGTTGCCCGACTTGCGAGCCTTTCAGAGCAGCTGAGGCTTTTTGCCTTGCATGCCAGCTACTGTCGCAACCTCAACCGCCGTGTCAACCTCGCGGTGGCTGAGTTTCTGGATGCAGAAGTGTGCCAAAGCCAAAAGCCGCCGGTTAGCAAATACAGCACACCTTTGAGCTGTGGCGAGGACTGCACGCTCTCCGGCAGGGGTTTGACAGTCTTCACCCGGTCTCAAGTCTCAGTGTGTGCTGGGGTAAGGAGAGGCGTTGGCCCTCTGCTTTCACGCTCCTCAACTGACTCCGGGGAGCCAAAAGCTGCACAAGGGACAGTGGCAAAGCGAGGTACCGGAAACCCTGCTGTGCCTGTGGACACATATCATAACACTTGCAAGCTGAAGCACGACAAACGTCAGTATTGCGAGTTGAACTGTCTAGGTCTGCCATGCTGTGTAACTCCTATCCCTGCTATATCTGCCCGGCAACCGCATTGGATTTCCGAAGCCAACATTGCTGCGATCGCCACGTTTGCATGCCATGCTTCGTTTCGCTGCTCAAAGACGTAGACTTGGAATCGGCGATTGAGCCCCGCAGCAGACAAAGCAGTTCGGCAACCGAGGGCCGCGGCACCAACCCCGTGGCCACAAAGTAGGTCTCGAAGGGCTTGTTGTAGCCATCGTAGGTGCGGGAGAACTTGCCTGGCAAGGTCAGAACAGATCGGAAGTCCACGGGAAGCCTCCTCTGTGCCTCCCAAGCCGTCGTCCATCCAGAGCTCGTAGCCCTTGAGGATGGAGAAGTCTGTGGAGCCGATCCTGAAGGCCACAGGTTTTTTTCCGGGCTTCGGACAGAAACGACTTGAGAGAAGATCTGGGCATCCGGCTCCGTGGCGCCCAGGAGAGGGATCCAGTTGTAGAGCAGCTCCGTGGGGGACACGTGCGTCGCCTCCCAGACTCTCCGGCATCGAATCGCCACATCGGATCCCTAAAACTCCAAACCCTAAACCTATATATACACCTTATAACGTACAATGGTAAACCCTGTTGCCCCTAAAATCCCCGCATCGGGGCCCGTGCATTCAGCCCGGAGACCCGGTCCGGTAGCGATGCCGTGTAGCTCTCGAGGTAGGCCGACTCGCTGCCTTGGGAACTGTTATAGAATAGATATAGATATAGATATAGATATAGATATAGGTCTAGATATGGATATGGATATAGATATAGATATAGGTATAGATATAGGTATAGATATAGATATAGATATAGATAGATAGAGAGAAGAAGAAGAAGAAAAGAAACCGCTTTGCATGTCTATCTATCTATCTATCTATCTATCTATCTATCTTACTAAGCTAATCTATGTATCTATCTATCTATATGTCTATACTTACACGGAATTTGGTTTTTGTTTCTTTATTTATTTATGTATCTATGTACGTATGTATGTATGTATGTATGTATGTATGTATGTATGTATGCATGTATGCACGCATGTATGTATGCAT